GTAAAATATGCATTAAATAAAAAGGTAACTTGGTAATAAAATTGTACACATCATTAATATTATAAAAGAATATTTGAATAATTAGACTTGGGCTGGGACTTGATATGAAGCTGGGCTAAACATTTATAATTGAGCCAATTTAACTATAGAATTTCTTCTTACCATGTGGGTTGGAGCACGTGTTGGGCTATCCAGCCCCCCGATTAGATCTGTTTCTACAATCAATCTTATTTATAGACGTTAATTAACATTTTTCAAGTTATTATTCTACACAAGAGTCACTACTATTAACAAACTTAGTTGCATAATCGATCGTGAATGAAATGAGGTGAAAAAATCGAAAAACCAATTAATACATCCATAAGCACTTGGGTTGGACACATTAAACTCCCAAACCGAATTGGATCGAACCAAGGGTTTTTCTTAATTGAAATACTCGAACAGGTATTTGAATCGAATAAGAATTGAATCTCCATAATTTTTTTAATTTATTTATCTTAAATATGCTAAATTATTTTATTTTTTAAAATAAATTTGCTAACTAATTAATTTAACTCAAACCCAAAATATTATTTTTATATTTCAAATTTTCAATCTAAGCCCAACTTAGTCAAATTGACCTAAGTTTTACTCAGATTTATTCTACCGTAGTGTCGGTTCTACAGTTCCAGATAAATCGAATTCAAAGTTCAGCTACGCCTCTCTTCATTATTGTAAGCTCGTTACTTTAATTTTTATGTGATTTTAACAATCAAATTTATGAAGAACTCAACAAAGAGAAACGCAAAAGATACATAAATTAGATATTCTTGCATGACGGGTGCAGCTTGCTCACATGTTCTGCGTGGTTGCTGCCTCCACCATGGCGACCCCAGCTCATTCTCCTTAATCCTCCATGATCCCGAACCTTTATGAATGGATGAGAATTCTTTTTGGTATCTAATAATGTCCAAAACAGACATTATTTGGAACCTTTTCCACCATTCTAGATAGGCATGTGTATGACTACAAAGAAAGGCACTTTCGTGTAACATCCTATGATTTCAACTCTCTTACAAGGTATTAACAAACTCTTGTAATAATATTATATTTTCCTAATCATCTCATATTATTTTCACTGTAGATCAAGAATAATTATATTTATACCATATTTTTAATTGCAACAATATTCATAACTTTTGTTCATTCTTACACGTATATCTTTAACTTCTTTTCGTCAAACTCTTATCATTAACCTTGTACTAATTTGCATATATTGTTTAAGATGAGGGGTTCCGTCAAAAAAAATGTTAGAAAGACAGGTAAAAAGGCCTGCTCTCATTTATAATATATTAAATATTGCATCAAGTTAGAAAATTTCAATACATAATAAATACTACAAAATATTTGCCATGTATGAATTTCATGTTATTAATTCTCAATTAATTAATATTTATTCACATTAATTTAGATTCAATGCATCTCGACTAAATGAATCTTAATCAACATGAATTTAGAGTTACCATATTTGAATTTATTTCTATTCATCTATCTAAAAATTTTAATGGGTATTTAAATTCATTTATTAACAATTAATTTTTATGTATCAAATATAGTATAAAAAGCTTGCTCATTTGTAATATTTTATCATCAAAAAAATTTGAATCATAGAAATTGAGTTTTGAGAGTACAATTTTATTCTCTTAAATTTCTATCCTAAATTTCATTTTCTTTAGTTCGCTTGAAACTTATCAAATCCTCCCAACCAATTGGTATCAAACATTACTTTTACAACACTTATAAAGTATTTCAAAATAACGTGCAATACACGTTCAACTTTGACTAGATAAGAGAAATAAACAACAAATATAACAATTTGACAGAATATTTGCTCTGCATTTCAACGTATGTTAGTAAAATATTTGGACAGAAATCGCTATCAAAGACAAGATGTACAAATTAATTAAATGTTTAAGATATAACGAAAGAAGAAGAGTAAAGATGATAAAGTATTGAGAACCTTCAATGTAATTAAAATGTGATATAAATAATAAAAATTGTAGTGTGAATATATTTACTCATAGATCAATTAATTGTATGATATATACACATGTATTCAATATATAAAGAATCTCTCTCTCCATTGTTTATTTATAACAATACAAATAAGTTCGTTTACATATTTTTGTATTAATTATATATATTGTATGTGTTTGAGCTATATTATTTTTAAAAAATATATTTTAGAATGGTAAATTGATAGAGAATGTATGTTTTAAAAATAATGAAAAGTTTTGAATTTACGTATAATATTATTCTATTAAAAAAGTGTTGTTGAAATGATATTAAATTACTATTTAAATGTATTTTTTATTTTCAAATAGTAAGGCTCAAACATGGCTATACAATTTATAATATAATAAGATAATAATTAACATCTACGAATTGTTAACAATAATAAAGATGGTTGGCCTTGTTCAACAGTTGGCGCCCTAACATAGGTGGGTGTGCCTACGTGGGGCCTTGTTCAACAAGAAAGAATCGCACTTGGTGTACAAGGCCACACATTCAACTTTATCAAACAAGCAAAGCCCTGGATCTCGCACTTTTATTAATTTTTCAATAATAAATTTTATCAAATTTTATTATAATATACTACAGTCCGGTGGGTAGCTGTACAGTCTTGTCCACTTCAAATATTTTACATTTTCGTTTTATTTCTTTTTAATAAATAAAAAACATTAATAAAACTTTGGAAAAATTGCAACAGCGATTTCAAAATTTTTCAATTTTTGCAAACTTTACCCTAACCTTCATTGTGTACCAAAAAATATTTCTAGCCTTTCATAAATATGCAATTGAAGTCCAGATGGATGGAATCCATCCATTTGACCGTTAGTTGACAAAAAAATTGATTTTGATCAAATTTGATAAGGACAAAATGGTAACTTAGTTAATTTCATATTATAAAATACCAAACAAAATTAGAAAAAATAAAATAAAATACCTCATCTTACACTCTATACCCTACGCAAACCCCCCCCCCCCCAAAGAAAAAAAATCAAAACTGCTCTTCTTTTTCTCGGGCAAGACCTACTGAAAACGGTCACAAAATGAAGGATATGGTAAAATCTGCAAAAATTAAAAAGGTTTGAGAATGCTGCTGCAATTTTTCCTAAAACTTTTGTCAAAACAATGATGACGGCCGGTATGGTCATCAACGCAAACAGGCCACCTAAACTACCCAATCAAAGGAACCAAAGCCCTTTGCCCCTTTCAGGGGAAAAAGAAAAAAAATTTCAACTAGTCCTTCAACTGTTAGGTTTGTTTCATTTTAGTAGCTCAATTTTGATATAACTCGATCTAATTTGCTTTTTAGTTTCGATTTGAGCTTTGTTTCAGTCGAAATACCAACTCAGGCTAAGTAAACGTTGATTTTTATAAAGGTAGGCAAATTAAACTTATGTTTGATTTTGATAAAAATCAAATTTTTAATAAATTTTGATAAAAGCTAATGAAATCTTTGATTAAAATTATAGATCCAATAAAATGTGTGGCCAAATGTTCTGAATAATCACAATGACTTGATCATCATCCATAGAATTCGGGTATGTGTGTGTGTGTATATATATAGAGACACACACACACACATACATATACATATAAACTTTTTTTGATGACAAAAATTACTGATTTAACATCAACAAGTGTCAACTTTCGCATTTGATCAACCATATAAGAATTAGTGTTACTTTTGATCTTCACAATCTAGATGATAGTCTGTCTCTTTATTTATTGTCTAACATATAATGCACTAGATACTGAATTAATGGACACATGGCTATTTAAATTGGCAATCTAGAATACCTTGTTTTGACTGTATCGCACTATGTATCATTTGATAACCCACAAAATTCTTCTAACTTTGGTTCAAATAAAATTTCAAATGGAGGATCAAAATTAATAATGAATAATATTACTTTTATAAGTGGTTGAGTCAAGACTTGAATTCATTATGGACTTAATTTGACCATGGAATTTTTTTATAACAAAAAATTTAGAAATTTAGAAAATTATAAGTTATAATTTTTTTATAGTTGAATTAAGAAAATGAAGTTGAGTGATTAATAAGAAAGAAACTTGTTAGTTAAGTGGCATCTAATGAAAAATTTGCCGAAATTAAAAAAATGAAAAACAGAGGGAAAATCCGTATTTCCATCTTCGAGTAACAACTAACAATATAAACCCATCTGTTTCTCTCCCTTGCATGATACAAAGAGGAAATCCTGTTTGTAACTTTTAAGATAAATCAATCAATAGGGGAGGGAGGCAGGGGGGAGAGAGAGAGGAAAAGGAAGGCGATCCGAACGGAGGAAGTGGCGAATGGGCACACTTCAGACATGGAGAAAATCATACGGTGCCCTGAAAGATCACACCAAAGTCGGACTTGCACATGTTAATTCCGATTTCAAGGTTCCCTTTTTTCTTCTCTATCAATACATTCACACACACACTTGTACGAGTGTGGTTGAATTTGATTAATTACACACAGAAAGAAATTGGAAATAAAAAAATTGATGATTGGATTTATGGGTTTCTCTATTTTCTTTGGATGGCTTAAAATAGGATGTGGATGTGGCGATCGTAAAGGCTACAAATCATGTAGAAGTTCCACCAAAAGATAGACACCTCAGAAGTGAGTTTTTCTTTTTATAATTCTAATTTACAGTATTAGATCCACAATTTGGAGTTTAATGGGTTTTCTACATTTCAGGAGAGAGTTTGATTTTAGTTTTTTTTTTCGTTTTTGTTTTTGTTTATGGCTGGACCTGAAGGACAATAGTAGTATTTCGGCTTTCAAGGTGTGCATTTTGGAATTGGTTTTGAGTTTGTTTTAAGAATATATGTGAAAAAATATTCTTGGAATTATTGTTTTCTGGGAAATTATGTGATTTTTAACTTGTATTCACAAATTTTTTGGTAAACCTTTGAATTTCTGGCTTGGGGTCCAATAAATTCTAGAGAATATATCATTCTTAACGTGGATTCATATATGCACTATCTAAAATAAGTTCACTTATGGGGTTTCTTTTTTCATTTTAAGAGAAACTAGTAGTCATTTTATTTGGGAATTCATGTTCGTTTAGTCAGAATGAATGACTTTGACACGGTACTGTTATTGTTCTGTTGCTTCTTGCAGAAATTTTGGCTTCCACATCAGCGATTCGGCCCCAGACTGATGTTGCATACTGCATACATGCACTTGCAAGACGGTTGGCAAAGACACATAACTGGACGGTATGGATTCTGATATAAGGGGGTTTGAGTTTCAGCATTGCATTATGTAATTGTTGCAGGACTTTTCGGTTTGATTTGTTATTGTTAATTTGGCTAAGGACTTGATTTGAGTATGATTAGGTGTCCAAGTGAATTTATGAGAATTTATTTGACAAAGAATGCATCATTTGAAAATTGGAGTTGTTCTCTTTTTCATGCAGCGAGCCTGTGAAGTTCACTTTCCTTGACTTCACAGTGCTTATTGTCAACCTCTTGTTGTATTTTATTTGGAAATTCATGTGTCTAATCCTTCATGTGTCTAAAAGTTTGTCAAAATGCTGCCCATATTATAAAGATTGTGACCTGTAGCTTCATCTTGAAGAATCTTCGCTAAATATTCGTGTGAACCAGTAAATGATTTAAAGCTATAAATACATCTTTATGTTTTAATTGCTGCCTTACCTTCCCGAGATCTGGTAATGAAGAGTAATTTAGACCACTGTCATTTTATTATTTCATTGACCTTGAAGCTTATGAGTATAATGTTGGTGGTGTATGTAGGATACATGTTTGTTTGAATATATCTAATGATGGGCCTATTTTTCTTTTTCAGTATAAATGATTATTTTGTTGGTTTTGTCACTTGGATTATTTTTATTTTGGCAATGTATTAATGGAATCAATTAATGCGGTAATCTACAGGGTTGAACTATGGCCTCAACAACAATTTAAGCTTAATTTCAATGAACTCGAGGTGTTGTTCATGCATCTTTTTCTGCCTCTCCATCGAATTTAATGCTAAATGGAATGCCCTACGAAATAGAATATTTTGCAACCACACCATATTATATACACATCACTTTTGTGAATGAAAGCCTCTTTAGATCTATAAAAATACGCCTCTTCATAACCATTTATTATTTATCCATCATAACATGGCAACCATGTATGCATCTTAACATTATCATTTCTGCTACATTTATCTTATGGATATTTTAACCTATATTGACTTAAATCGTTAAGTATAGTTGGTATAATAACCATCAGGCAAACAATTTAACTATAGAAGTATCTTCTTATTAATTCTTCATTTTGTACAATTCAGTATTACTTAAATGTTATGTCATTTTCAAGCCTGCCTTCCTTAAATGTTCTTCCAATGTTATAGCATACACATTTGTCCCCTTTCTAGCGGTTTCAACTAAACCTATATTGTTAGCAAATAACACGTGCCAATGGAACTCAAGTTGGATGTCTTATAAGTTCATCCATGACTAAAACAAGATGATGAAGATTTAGAGCAGAATCTTGTTACAGGCTTGTAATAATGAAACTTGCTATATTTACTCCTGTTAGATACCACCTTCACAACTTACACACACACACAAAACCTTTGTCTTCTGTCACCCAGGATAAAACTGTGGGATTTCCAGGCCATCAAGGTCCTGCAAACTTGTAGAGTGATTGATTACTTCAGGGAAAAATTTATATCCATACGTTGTCTAAGAAACTAATGGTTGAATGCTTGTTGCTTTAGGATGAGTATATGGTGGAAGATACTCACTCAGTTTTGCTAGGAAACTTACTTATCAAACAATTGTTGTTGTCTTTTAGGCCTTGTAACCTGTTGAACCTGACTCATTTTTGTGCTTCTGAATCCTATAATATTCACTCTAGTGAGTTATGGTTATTAATATCATTATTATCATTAGCAGCTTGACGCTTTTATTATTGGAAATTGTAATTTGTAGTAAATCTAGATCTAAATTCCTGCAGGAGATGTTTTGATTAAATGCTTTATGTTTTTTATTGCTATTTTTGGAGATCTCATCAACATTTTTTGATGAGGGACAAGCCTTTGAATTTTTTGGCTAGGAGTATTTGGCAAAAACAAATTTTCTTCAACTCAGCTCAGCTCAGTGAATTATTGTATTGAGATTATAATTATAATTTTCAGCTTCAGGCTTTTATCATTGCAAAATGTAGTTCATTGTCAATCTAAACCTAAATTCTCGTAGTAGATGTTGAGATTAAATACTCTATCCATACAGGGCAGGGCAGATTTCGCTTTCATCTATCAAGAAATGCTATTTTTTTCTAGCTAAGCTATTTGTTAATCTGCGAAGTTTTTTATTGCTACTTTTGGATATCTTGTTTACATTTTGGGATTATGGAAAAGCCTTTGAATTTTTTGAATATATAATCAAAGTCATTTTTCAGCTACACAACTCAAACTCAACTGTGCAGACACATTTTGCTTCATGTTTTCTATTGTTTGCTCAACTTTTAAGATTGGAATGCATTCTCATAAGAGAATGTCATGCTGCAGCATAAGACGGTTTTCTTCCCAATAATTTGACCTTGTCTGGGGTGATACAAAGTGTTGAGCACATGAAATTTTTCTGCATGATTAACCTCTGGGGAGCAGAGTAGTTTAGGAATGCCCCTCTAGATTAGCCTAGAGTCGCATTGAGTTAGAATAGGTGACTTTCTATTTAGTTGCCTCATTTCCTATGGTGGACTGGCTCCCTTCTTTGTGTTGTAGCTGAAGGTCTCATAGAAGGTTAGGAGTCAAAACAGACTTGCATTTCTCATCGAATAAACAGAACGGAATCTATCCAAACAATAAGGGGATTGTTCCCTTCACTGGTCCTGCTCTTCTAGCCTTCAATCTCCTCTATTTTCTGGAGTATCCGTCTAATTTTTAGATTCCACAAGTGAAGTAAAAGTTATTTATTTTTTATTTCACATCTGCAGGTTGAAAGAAAATCAAGGAAAAAGTTCATTACTCTTTAGTTATTTTAGTGATTTCTGAAGATTGCCTGTTTGGTGTTATTCCGCTCCATTTAGAGATGAAATTTGGTCTTTCCAACGTTTTGAATAAATATGCTTTCTGGATCTGGAGTGTTGATAGCTGGTTGAGTCACATGCTTGTTGCCAAGATCAAACGGAAGACCTTTATTCTATAATTCGAAGTATTTGTACTGTTTGTACATGCGAGTGATATTATTATGGGATTAATTGTGTTCACAGCATGGTCTAGAGTAAATTCAGTTTAGCTATATGATCACATTTTTATATATAGTTTCCTCGTGCTTTTCCCAATAGGTTGCATTGAAGACACTGATAGTTATTCATAGAACATTGAGAGAAGGTGATCCCACATTTAGGGAGGAACTTTTGAATTTCCAGCAGAAAGGACGCATCCTTCAATTTTCCAATTTTAAGGATGATTCAAGTCCCATTGGTAAATGCAACTGCCCTGTTTTCCTTATTTATGTTCTTGTCTTTTATCATCCCAACCGCCCCAGAACTCAGGACTAAAGTATGCTGCTTTCTTTTGCCAGCTTGGGATTGCTCTGCCTGGGTACGGACATATGCATTCTTCTTGGAAGAAAGACTCGAATGCTTTAGGATACTGAAGTATGACATTGAAGCTGAGCGTCTTCCAGGACCTGCTCAAGGCCAAGAGAAGGTTCTGAATCTTATGAACATGGTCCCTTTTCACTGAATAATGATTTTTGTAAATTTTTGCTTTACAATCTTATTTGTGCAGCATGATGTTTCATTCTGCATGAAATGTCTTAAAGTGTCTTGTCTACTTTTCTTTTTGGAGTTCTAGAGTAATTGTTGGATGATTATGGTTGAATTGAATACTGTCACTATTTGCATCTGATATGTTGAGTAATTATAAGACTAATATCTCGAGGGAATTGTTGGAATGTTCTTGACCTATACTTTGAAACTTGATAAGGTTTGGCTTATTTGTGGGGCTCCAATAGGAAATCAGTGTTCCTCCTTGAGATGGATGCTCAGATGGCTTAGGCCAGTGAATTTTTTTAGTCTCAGAATCTACAGTTCAATCCTATTAGAACCTGCAATGGAGAAGCACAAAAGAAAAAAACTCATGTTAAGAACATTATTTCAAGATTAATTCAGGGTTTATTACTTCCAAACTTGATTGAAATTTATAGTTTTGTTCCTTGGTTAGCAGGGTTACAGTAGAACTAGAAACTTGGACAGTGGAGACCTTTTGGATCAACTCCCTGCATTGCAGAAGCTGCTGTACCGTCTTATTGGATGCCAGGTACTTTTTAATTTTTCAAAACTATGCTTCTTGGGCACATCCATTTTCCAGATTATTATTTTATTCCCCAGCCTTCCTGCGGTAAACTCTGAAATTCCTTACTATCAATATAAAATAGATACTGATTCTAGTGAACCATGATGAATTTTCAGCCTGAAGGAGCAGCTGTTGGCAATTATGTGATTCAGTATGCCCTTGCTCTGGTGTGTGATCTATCTCTGTACCTCCAATATAGATTAGATGTGGTTAGCAAATTCATAATCTTCACGGGAACAAGGGAAAAAAGGTAAAAATTCAGAAATGAGTGCTCTTGTGAATTTAGTATGAGGTTAAGCTGCAAGTAATATAAAGAAAAATCTTATCATCTGTAAACATGGAAAGAAAAGAAACTGGTTGGGAAGGGGAAGATGGCTATGAGATCAGCATAATGAAAGTACTCATTATTCTCAATTCCCCTTTCTTACTTGTGGAAAAAAGAGAAGTAAGAAAGTATTCGAGTCGCTTTTTCAGGATTTTTAGCGCATAGAGTTTTTATTTCATATTTGTTGTGCATGATTGATTTAAGATATAAGTTGAAGATTGCTGACATTTCCTGGTCAACATATGTGATTTCAGGTGCTCAAAGAGAGTTTTAAAATTTATTGCGCTATAAATGATGGAATTATCAATCTTGTTGACAAGGTGACATGACTGTTAGGTTTGCCAGATTAATATCTTAAAACTATATTTTAAAAATTTTCCCATTTCTTTGGTTTCCATTTCAGTTTTTTGAGATGCCTAGACATGAAGCCATTAAAGCTCTCGATATCTATAAAAGAGCTGGTCAGCAGGTAGAATGTTTTCTAGCCACTCTTAGGCTAGGAGGCGAGGGACTTGTACTT